TTAAATCAGAGGTCTTCAGACTTGGCAACTTAAAGACTTGTGGCCTTCAACTCACAGAATCCAACTGGGAGTTGAAGTCCACAAGTCTTAAAAGTTGCCAAGTTTGGGGAGCCCTGTGTTAAATGCAGCCTTACCCCCTCTCCCCCAAATATATACTTTCATGTTTGCAAACCGTCTTGGTTTCCTGAACCTGCTGCAGGGACTCTGCCAGATACAGAGTCCCATAAGGAGCACAGGAGTGGTTGGCCATGCTGTAGTGAGTGGTGTGTGTGTGCGTGTGTGTGTGTATTGTCATGTGTGCCCATGTGATCTGCATGGGCTTTGATGACCAACGGATGGAGGCCTGATGAGCCTCCCGAGAACCTTGTCACTTCCTTAGACAAGAATGAGGGAGGCCCTTCCAGATGTTGTGTCGTTTCCTCACAACTGTGGGTTCCCCTTAGATTGTCATGCGTTGTGATTTCATCCCTGGTGGGCGAGGAAGCGGTGCCGAACTTCTTTTCCCATCTCTGCAGATGAGACAGGAATGAAACTCCACTCCTGCCCCCTCCCCCATCCAGGCTCCTCCAGATGTTGCCCCTTCAATCCAGACAGGATGGCTCCACCCAGGGAGCTGAAGGTTGTCAGGAGGGAAAAAAAGAGCAATATATTTTGATTTCCCCAAAAATGTCTTTCAGCTGATTGTCTCAGAGAAGGTGGGGTTTTTTTTTTGTAAAAAAGAATACTGAGATTTCTTTTTAAAAAGGAGACGCTGCAGTCATACATGTGAAAAATGGTTATAAGTCCCTTTTTTCCAGTGCTGTTGTAACTTGAATGATCACTGTTGTAAGTCGAGGACTACTTGTATAAGGTTACATATAATCTTCTCCCCATAACTCATCTCTTTATCTTATACACAAATCCATAAACCATCAACATGTTACTTATGCTACCAGTAAAAAGAACTTTGTAGAATCGTGCCTTGAATTGACCGTGGTCAAATAAGCCAGCTCTATATTCTCTCCTTTTATTTCTAGCAATCTCAAATCTTTCATTCATAAAGATGATATCAGGACTTGATCTCTCTTCAGCTTTCTCTTTTCTCGTCTAAGAGACTTATTTGAGCCTTTTGCAAACCTCTTTTGTACAACTGATAAAGAGTCATGATATCCTGATCATTTTCTGGGCTTGTCATTTGTAGAACTGCCAACTCTGTCTTATAATCCATTTTTTTTTTTATGTTCCAGTATTTCAACCATTTATTTACTTTTTAAAATATATATATTTCGCACTAGATGAGGTTGTTCCGGCTCTTTATCCAGTAAATCTTCCAAAGAAGTCTCCTTCACACCTGTCATTTCTTCCTTGGACGTAACTTATCTAGGTTAGCTGACAGCATTGCTGACATTGTAGGTGAAGTTTCTGTCCCCATTCTTCAAAATACCTGCTGGGATGTCTCAGATGCCATCCCATTGTCTGTCATTTTGTCTCAGTGCTGACAAAAGAGAAGAGGCCGATTTGTCTCTGCTTTTTGCTTCCTCTTTTATGTCTGGGTTCCGTAGTCTCCTCTAGTGTCCAATTTCAGAAATCATAAAAGTCTCACATTTCCCTTATGGTAGACTAAACAATTTAGTTGCCATGAATTCATATAATTATTTCCAAAATCTCACAGCCCAAAATAATATTGCTCCCTTAATTTAACCTGGAATAGCCTAGAATAACAGAGCTGGAAGGGACCTTGGAGGTCTTCTAGTCCAGCCCTCTGCTCAAACAGGAGACCTATGTCTATGGAGATTTTCCACCATCCATGGTTCTCCCCAAAGGGGCTTTTTCTTCAAGAGGCAACTGGACTTTCTGTTTTTTCTTTGAAGAAGTTTTGCTTCTCATCCAAGAAGCTTCTTCCGTTCTGACTGGATGGTGGGGAAGGGAAGGATTTAATTGTAATTGCAATTTAATACATTTATATGCCCCCCAATCCCGTAGGATTCTGGGCGGCTAACAAATACAAGAGTAAAATAAAATAAAGTATAGGGGAAAACAATAAACAGATTTAAAACAACACACCATGCACTCAAACATAGATGGGGGCTGGACCTCATTCATTTATAATATGCAACTGTCTGCAAGGAGTATAAATCCTTCCATTCCTCACTATCCAGTCAGAGCTGAAGAAGCTTTTTGGATGAGAAGAGAAACGTATTTAAAGAAAAAACCAGAAAGTCCAGTTGCCTCTTGAAAAACAGCCCCTTTGCGAGGAGACCCCACCTCATTCTGGATAAATGGTTATCCGATCTCTTCTTTAAAAACTTCCAGGGATGGAGCACCCACAACTTCTGGTGGCAAGCTGTTCCACTGGTTCATTGTCCTCACTGTCAGGACATTTCTCCTTAATCCCATGTTACTTCTCTTCCTGGTTAGTTTCCATCCCTTGTTTCTCGTCCTGCCTTCAGCAATAGCAATAGCAATAGCAGTAGACTTATATACCGCTTCATAGGGCCTTCAGCCCTCTCTAAGCGGTTTACAGAGAGTCAGCATATTGCCCCCCACAGTCTGGGTCCTCATTTTACCCACCTCGGAAGGATGGAAGGCTGAGTCAACCCTGAGCTGGTGAGATTTGAACCGCTGAACTGCTGATCTAGCAGTAGCCTGCAGTGCTGTATTTAACCACTGCGCCACCTTGGCTCTTTGGAGGATAGGTTGACCCCCTCGTCTTCGTGGCAGCCCCCTCCCCCAAACACTGGAAGACTGCTATCATGTCCCCCTTAATTCAACACCTTCTTAGATTAAAGGCCGATTTAGCCTTTTGCCATTTGTTTCAAGTTCTCCACATTCTTAAGCTTCGGGATAACATTTCTTTCATTCTAGAATGAAGGCAAAATGACCAGGTGGCTTTGGAAATGTGGAGTTCTGAAGATCTCTAATAGCCTTAAGATTGTTAAATCCCTGGATTAGAAAGTGAGGTTAATGCCCTAGAAAAGACTCCGTCACGGTTGGGGGGAGGGGGCTGATGGCTTTCCATGATGCCCCCCCCCCCCAGCTCCTCCAACCTGCAGAAAGCCCCTATTTCCCGATGAGCATCCATCTGGAGCACAAGTGGGCAATCTCCCATCCTTTCATCAGCATTTCAGCCATTGCCCCCTCCCTCACTTCAGCCAAGGGGAGTGAGAATTCTGGCAGCCCCCGAGCACATCTGGAGAGGCCCCAAATGTAGAAAGGGGGGGGAGTGACCTCCAGTTAAGAAGACTGATTTCAGCATGGGGCCATCAATGAAATGTCTTTAAATTCTCCTTCCCCAATAAAAAGAATCTTTAAAGACCCCAATCTAGTCCTCTCCTCTCTCCCCACCAGAGATCTCCCCCTCTTTTGGTTCCCATGGGGAAAGATCTCCCCAGGGGCTCTTCTAGAGCCCCCCCACTCCGCAAAATCTGTGGGGCATTCTAGGGATACATGATAGCCGTCTTCCAATATTTGGGGGGGCTTGGATGAAGAAAAAGAGGGTCAGCCTATTCTCCAAAGCACCAAAAAGCAGGACAAGAAGCAATGGATGGAAACTAATCAAGGAAAGAAGCAACGTGGAACTAAGGAGGAATTTCTTGATAGGGAGAACAATTCACCAGGGGAACAGCTTGCCACCAGAAGTTGGAGGTGCTCCACAGTGGTGGGTTTCTGCCGGTTCGCACCGGCTCGGGAGAACCGGGTGGTGAAATTTACCGATCCGGTGAGAGGAGGTTCGACCGGTGGATCCAGAAGTAACTTCCGGAACGCCTGCCCCGCCCCTGTCGCTCGCTTGTTCATTCCCCCCGCCCGTTTGGAAGCAGCTCCATCGCTCCCTCCCCCCTGTCCGCACTATCCGAGCCCAATTCAGTGTCAAGTCCCATACCTGGGAGTGTGGGTGGTGAATGGAGAAGCATGGAGA